TGAAAACCCAGAAGTTAAGTGAATCCACCTATGGACAGCTGATCTTTGACAAAGGGCCAAAACTCATTAAATGGGAAAGAGATACTCTCTTTAATGATGCTGTCATAACTGGATATTCATTTTCAGAAAAATGAAACTATACCCATATCTCAAACCATACACAAAAACAAGTTGGATCAAAGACCTGAACCTAAAACCATAAAGACCATCAAGAAAAAATAGGGACAAACTTAGGGGCCCTAATTCAGGGCATAAATACACTATCAAATATAACTAAATATGCACAACTACCAGAAGACAAAATAGATGACTGTGGCCTCCTAAAAATTACACACCTATGTATATCGAAAGATTCCACCAAGAGTACAAAGAGAACCCACAGACTAGAAGAAATAATTTGGCAATGACATATCAGAAAAGGGACTAATCTCTGATGTATAAAATTTATAGAAAACTTCAACAATTCAACAACATAATGAAAATAATACAGTTTAGAAATGGTCGGAGGACATGAACAGACACTTCACCAAAGAAGACATTCAGGTGGCCAACAAACACATGAAGAAATGCTCACTAGCATTAGCCATTGGAGAGATGTAAATCAAAACAACAACGAGATATCATGTCACTCCAGCATTAATAGCAAAGTTTAAAAAAAAAAAAAAGTAGAAAATAGCAAATGCTAGCAAAGGTGTGCAGAGACTGGAACACTCATTCACTGCTGGTGGGACTGTAAAATGGAAAACTATGAAAAGTGGTATGATACTTCTTTAAGAAGTTGGAAATAGAAATACCATATGATCAGCAGTCCCACTACTAGGTATATATCCTAGAGAAATAAGAGCCATGACACAAACAGATAGATATACATACACCTGCAGTGTAGTAAATTACTTTATGTGGCTTTTCTACCCATAAGTCTTTGTAAACTCCAAGATGGGATTTGCTATGAGGAACTGAGGAGCTCCTGATTGCTGAAGTTGTCCACCTGGAGTATTTCTGTTGGGAGTGGCACAAAACAATGTTCTGGGAGGTGCCCACTCTCTCTCAGGTGCTTAGAGTTCTGATGCTATAATTGGCTAGTTTGACCACCCTGCCGGGCTCAAAAGGAGGCCTCCTAGAGGCAGAACTCTCTCTGACTGCTGGTTGAGGAAGACGTGCTGCTGAAAGAGACACGCACCCTGGAAAGAGACACGTGCTGCTGGGAAAGAGGTGCAAGAGACACTCATTGCTGAGTGAGACACCGAGGGACACTCACTGTTGGGAGAGAGACTATTAGAGAGAGACTGTGGGCTGAGAGAGAGAATGAGAGTTTTTCCTGAACTTGAATTATAGCCTGGTGCTTCCCTAATAAACCTCATAATCTGTGAGTTCTGTGTGGCCACTGCAGCGAATTATCATACCCAGGAGAGAGGTGGTGGGTGCTTTGGGAGGAACAGTTGGTGAAAAGGTTGGAGGGAGGCAGCATGTCTGGCCTTGCAGTAATAGGCCTTGGGTTACTCCTGGTAATCCTGCCTTCCCCTTGTAGGGTTAGAGTAGGTCAGAATATGAGGCCACCTCACCGTTTTTGCAACACCCATGTTGATCACAGCCCTATTCACATTGGCAAAATCATGGAGACAACCTAAATGTCCATCAGTGGAGGAATGGATCAACAAGCATACACACAACAGAATACTACACAACATTAAAGAACAATGATGCCTGTGTGAAACATCTCATAACAAGGATGAACTTAGAACCCATTCATTATGCTGAGTGAAATTCATCAATCACAAAAGGACAAATATTGTATGAGACCACTATTCTAAAAAGTCAAGGAAATGGTTTCACATAAAAATATTCTTCAGTAGTTACCAGGGGTGGGTAGGAAGGGAGGATAAACCACTAACTAGAATTAACCACGTATTAACTTGAGTAAAGGAAAAAGAAAATAAAAAATAAATTAAAAAAAAAAAATTTCACCAAAAGATTAAAAAGAGGACCCATAGAATGGGAAAAAAGAATTGGCTATGACAGACAAGAACCTAAGAAATGAAAAAAATAAAGAAAGAACATTAAAAAACCTAAAGCTAACCTTAACCCCTAACCCTAAACCCCTCCCCCTGCCCCCCCAAAAAAAGTTACAGCGTGGGAAACTCTGTGGAGCAATTATACTGTGTCTTACAGAGTTAGAGAAGTCAGAATTGACTCAATGGCACACAACAATATTTAATATATATATTGTTAGCACACTAACTTTGAACTTAACAGCTAACACCACATAACTCATGCTTGAGCAAAGCCTATGTAATATATGTATTTTCTATGAACATATCATAGCGTTCTTGCACTTAGAACGCTAGACAGCACTTCAGCACTATACTTAGGGACCATTTTAAAAAATAAAAAGCACAAAAATGTGACACTAATTAGACCACAAAAAGAACATTTATTTACATTTTGGAGCTGAAACAAGAAGGCATTGCATAGCCTTCTTCAACCACAGCTACAATGGAACATGCATGTTGTTGTTGTTATGTGCCGTCGAGTCAAACCTGACTCATAGCGACCCCTCCTTGGGTTTCCGAGGCAGTATCACTATGGAAGTAGGATTGCCCAACCTTCCTTCCGAGGAGTGGCTGGTGGGTTTGAACCGCCAGCCGTCTGGTTAGCAGGCAAGTGTCTTAGCCACTATGCTACCAGAGCTCCCTCCCGGAACATGCATGTTAGAAGACTCAAATTTTTAACCACACTGTACATATCTGCAAATGAGTATGAAAACACTAAAAGCATTGATTTTGGGGTTACAAATAAATATTAGCTAATAGGCAAATTCACAAATATGACATCCTCGAATATTGCAATTGTGTACAAATGGCCAAAAAGCATATGAAAGAATGCTCAATGCCATTGTCATCAGGGAAATGCAAATCAATGCTACAGTAAGATCCACTTCACACCCACTAGAATGGCTAGACTCCAAAAGTCACATAGTACCAAGTATTGACAAAGATGTGGAGAAATTGTAACCTTACAGACTGTTGCTGGGAAAGAAAATGATACAGCCACTTTGAAAAGTATTTTGGCAATTCCACAAAAATTTACACATATAGTTACTATCAAAAAAAAAAAAAAAAAAACTTCACTGCCATCCAGTCAGTTCTGATTCATAGTGACCGCCATTGAATTTCCAAGGCTGTAAATGTTTACAGAAGCACATTGCCCCATCCTTCTTCCACGGAGTGGCTGGTGGGTTTGAACCACTGACCTTTTGGTTAGCAGCCAAATGCTTAACCACTGCATCACGAGGGCTCCTTATAGTTATAATGTGACCGAGCAATACCACTCCTAGATATATACTCAAGAAAAATAAATATATGTCACCTAAAACTTGTACATGAATGTTCATAGCAGCATTATTCATAATAGCCAAAAACAGAAACAACCCAAATGTCCATCACCTAATGAATGGATAAACAAGTTGTGGTATATGCATACAATGGAATATTATTGGACATTCAATAAAGGAGTGGAGCACTGATATATGAGCCTTGAAAACATTAAGCCAGTCACAAAAGACTACATATTGAATGATTGTGTTCTTATGAAGTATCCAGAATAGGCAAACACATAGGAACAGAAAGTGAATTAGTAATTTCCATGGGGTAAGAGGAAGGGGAATAGAGAGTGACTGCTATAATAGGTAGCACAGTGCCCAAGGCATTTGACTGCTAACCAGAAGGTTGGTGGATCAAACCCACTGGCCACTCTGTGGAAGGAAGATGGGGTGTTCTACTTCTGTAAAGATTTACCGCATTGGAAACCCAATGGGGGTCGCTGTGAGTCAGAATTGACTTGGTGGCAGTGGTTTGGTTTGCTAATAGGTACTGAGTTTCTTTCTGGGTTAATGGAAATGTTCTGAAATTAGATAGTGGTGATGGTTGCACAAAGCTGAATATAACAAAAATCATTGCATGCTGTATTTTAAATGAGTGGATTTGATGATGTGTGAATTATAACTCAATGAAGTTATTAAAAAGAGAATGGAAAATGGACTAAATTTATAATTATGACTTGGAGTTTTAGAAGACAGTTGTACAAAACAACTAAAATTATATCTCTTACCATCAGGGGTACTGTTGTTGTTGTTGTTGTTATTTGCTGTCGAGTCAGACCTGACTCATAACGACCACTCCTTGGGTTTCCGAGGCGTTATCACTACAGAAATAGATTGCCCAACCTTCCCACACTTTGGAAACATTAGTTTAATTCTAAATGCAAACAAAGCTAGTTGGGTTGTCCTTCATGATTTCTTCCTCCAATTCTGTTGCTCCTCAAAAGTTAGGAGTATCTTTCTCTGAGACCTGGGAGCTGGCTGACTCTGCCAGGACACCCCAGTGGGTGTTACTCCTCTTTAAGCCTTTTCTGGGATCATTAATGGTGGAACCACCTGCTACATCTAAGCCTCAGGCCAAGGAACCATATGGGCATTTCTGCCACCCCTACCCATGAAAGATCTTTAAAGCCAGGCAGAATAAATAGCTACAGGTGATGATTTTATTTTAATAGCTTTAGTGTTATTACTAAATATTTTCTCTGAAGAGATATGGAAATGCTTTTCCAATTTACTACCTGTAGTATCCAAAACATTGCCACGTCATTTAATCCTCTCCCCTAATTTGACTTTTTCTATAAAATTTATCTTATCCATGTGGAGTAGAGCACCTATGGTGCAACGCTGCTTCTTATAAGATGCTTCTTATAAGATCAACTCTGAGTGAGTTGATGAATGCCTCTCCCAAAGCTTAAGTTTCTTGCTGTAGAGTAGCTGCTTCACTCTGAGATAAAATAAGAACTATCTATCTTTGCAGTCCTTAATTTTGATAAGTGTCTGACTCGTATTTAAGATCTAAACTCTAGCAGAAGACAAAATATCAGGAAAAACTGAAAACTATATAAGTATGGTGGCATCTGAGAATATATTTTCATCTTGTATGTGTATTGCTTTCTCTATGAAGCTCCTGTTGGAACACCAGGATGCAATTGCACCTGAAAAAAATGATTCACTGAATGAATTGTTGGAGATGCTGGGAGAGGTACCTAGTGTGGAATCTTTTCTTGGTAAGAATTTGTTCCTTCTACTTATTCTGTCATTTTTGATTGGTTGGTTGGTTTTCCTGTCCTAGATTTAAAAAGGAAAAAGAAATGTTGAAATTTAATTCTTGAGCTTATTTTAAAAGACAATACCTATACTATTGTTGTTATTGTTGTATGCTATAGAGTTGATTTGAAGTCATGGTGACTCAGTATGACAGAGAAGCACTGCCCCATAGGGTTTCCTAGGCTATAATCTTTATGGGAGCAGATCACCAGGTCTTCTGCCCACAGAATCACTGGTAGGTTCAAATCAGCCATTTTTTGGTTTGCAGCCAAGCACTTAACCATTGTGCCACCAGGATTCCTTATACCTATGCTATCCCTTCCTGTAAGAATAGTTGATGCTTTTGAGTTGTGGTGCTGGCAAAGAATGCTAAAAGTGCCACAGACTTCTAGAAGAACTAATAAACTGTCTTGGAAGTGTAGCCACAATGCTCCTTGGAAGGAAGAATGGCCAGACTTCATCTCACCTACTCTGGTCATGTTGTAAGAAGAGACCATTCTCTGAAGAAGGATATCATGCTTGGTAAAGTGGAAGGTCAATGAAAGAGGGGAAGGCCCTCAACAAGATAGATTGACACAGTGGCTCAGGTATAGCAAGGATCATGGAGCTGGCACAGGACTGGGCAGTGTTTTGGTCTGCTGTACATAGGGTTGCTATGAGTCGGAGACAACTAAATGGCACCTAATAACAACAACAACATCCCCTCCTGTATTAAGAGTAGTATAATTGGTAGTAGGAGCTCTGGTAGCATAGTGGCTAATGCATTTGACTGCTAACCAGAAGGCTGGTGGTTCAAACCCACCAGCCACTCCTCGGAAGGAAGGTTGGGCTCTGAATCTCGATCTGGAAGGGACCCTGGACC